GTGTTCCGTGCAGGCCCTGCCCCGTCCAGGCTGGCGCAGACAAGCTCCCCGCCCGGGGCCGCGCCCTCCTGCCCGGACCTGCGCCGGCCTGCCGCACCCGGGTCCCCAGGGACATAGGCCCCCCGGGAAGGCGGGCAGAGGCCGTAGCGGCCCTGGCCCAGGCGCTGTGTCAGCATGTCCGTGCCTTCCCTGAGCAGTCTGGCACGTCGGAAGCTTCCAGAAAACATGCTGACTCGGCCCACGTCAGGCGCCCCCCGGGGTGCCTGGCCGCCTGGGGGGGACGCAGGAATCGCAGGGGTGCGTCTCTTCCCTCCCCTCGTGGTCACCCCCACAGAGGGCGGGAGCCCGAGAGCCAGTGAGGCCGTTCCTTTCTGCGAGTGGCACTTGGGGAGACGGAGCGGCCAGGCCGGCAACCGCTTTTTCCAGGGCCGTCCTGCCCTCCCCGGCCCCCACGCTGCCCCTCAGGCCTCTTGGCCCCCGTGGGGCCACGATCGGCTCCTTCCGCCAGCCCCACCCCTGCCCCGTGGTCCTCATGGACCCGAGCGAGCCTGGATGTGAGACGCGGGCAGGCTTGTGAGGCAGCCCTGACCTTGCCTGCGGACAGTGGGGCGGCGTCCTGAGGCCAGCTCCCTCTCCTCCCTCCCCCGGGAGCCCCCAAGCCCAGCAGTTCCACAGGGTGTGACGGTGCCTCCCTGGGCCTCTGATAGCCCCCTCTGTGCTGCAGCTAAGGGGGCGTGGGGTGGGTGGGCTGGAGTCGCCCCCAACTCCGGCCTCAAGCCTGCCGCCCCTGCAGGGTGCCCGTCCGCTCCCTGGAGCGACAGTCCCAAAGCCCCGTGCCTACATAAACACTGGTTTCGCTGGAGGGACACTGGCCCCTGGACCTCTCTCAAAACACACCGTCTGGCATCCTCCAAGCCACAAGGAGGCCCACACAGGCCAGACAGGGCCTCAGGAGCCCGTGGCCAGGGGGGCGGCCGCTTGCCATCCTCGTAGCTCCGATCAGCACGCCTCCCTCCCTTCTTGCAGCCTGACTCCCTCCAGGGAGTCCCCGGCCCCTGCCTCTTCTCACAGAGCCGGCTCACTCTGGGTCGCCAGCACTTGTTGGTGGGTGGCTCCTCTAATGCCCACCTGCCCCCCGGGGACAGATCAGGGGACCCTCGGCTCCAACAGGCCCCCCCGCCCAGGCTCCTGGGCTCTCCTGGTACCCGGAGCCCATAACGTCACAGCCGAGGCGGGACCCGTGCTTTCCCAGGTGGGCAACTCTGCTTCCCGGGCACTGCCGCACGTGTTACCACCCGGGGCCGGCCACAGAGCTCGCAGACCTGGTGTTTGTGGGGCATATGGGAACACCTTTCTTCCTCCCCAGGTCTCTCCGCCTGCCGAGGTCTTGTTGGTTTGCTCTTCCCTTGGGCACTGGGAAACCCACGCAGGTCACATTCCCAACCCCATCCTCCCTGCACCTGTGCCCAGGACCCGGCCAGGGGAGGGCACAGCGGCCCCCGGGTAGGGGTGGAGGCAGGGCCAGTGGGAGCCCAGGCCCTGAGCCCTGACACATGCTCTGGTGTCCTGTGGGACGTCCCCCACGGAACACCAGCTTGAAGATAAAAGCATGTCGAACTTCAAGACGGCAACGTAGTGACCCAGGTGGCGACTTTGGGTACAGACTCGTGGGCGCAGGGCTGTCAGTGTCCGGCAAAAACTTTCGAGAAACCAGAGCCCTGAGGGCTGTCCCCTAACCTCCGCCCCTGGAAGCCCTCAACTTACCACCCCCCACCACAGCGCGTCTGCGTAGCTGCCGAACTCCACACGGCCCGACTCGTTCACGGCGTCCTTCTCGGCCAGGTACACAAAGTAAGAGGAGAAAATGAGGCCCAGGAAGCCGATGTACAGGGTGGTTATCAGCTCCTGCGCCCAGAAAGATACATATCAGCCAAGGGTACCCGCCGGGCCGGCAGCTCCCGCAAGAGGCTGGGAACCGACGTCTGGGTGGGGAGAGGCCACCCCGGAGGGAGGCCTGACACCCACCAGCCCACTCCACACCAGGAGACCAGGCTTCAAAACAACCCACGTCTCACAACTCTCACAAGGGGCTGGTCTCGGTCTTGCCTCGGGACCCAGGCACCACGCCCGGGTCACCCATGTCCTCTGCTCTGGCCTGCTTGGGTTCTGCTGGCTGCCTGGCTCCTGACAGAAGCAAGCATGGACTAGGACTCTGCAGAGCCTCAGGGAGAGGAAGGGTCCCCACCGACCCAGGCCAGGATGGGGCAGCCTTAGCCCCTGGGGCACAGTCCCCAGGAAAAGGCACTGGTGGCCCCGGTGTCACCGGGTTGTCCTCCGTTTGCTTGGTTTTCTCTTTCTGAGCCTCCCGGACTTTCTTCCATCTTGCATTTCTATCTTTTATGGGCCTGACAGTCTCGAAGGAAGGTGGGCACACCATCAGCTAGGCAGACTGGGGAGGCTGGCACCACGGGCGTGGGGTGGGGCGCCTCTCCTGGCCTTGGGCTGCTCTGGACCCTGGGCCTGTTCGTGCCCCCAGGGGCGGGACCCACACCTCACACGTGGGCGGGGCCGGGTCCTGAGCATGCCCAGCCATCCCGGTGTGGCCGGCCCATTCCCCACATCCGGCCCCCACCCGGCCCCTGCGCCCCGCCCAGGCCGCCTACCTGGCGATGGATGAAGACCACAGAGCCGAGGAGCCTCCAAGTGCCCCCCTGGCGGTCGACGTGCAGCATCCTTAAGATCTGGAGGAATCGGATGCCCCTGGGGAGGAGGAGAAACAGGGCTGGGGGACGGTGGGCAGGTGGCGCCCATCCTGCGGGCACCCACTCCAGGAAGACCCGGTGCACATCTGCCTCCACGGAGGCTGTCTCGCCTTCCTGTCTGCCCCGCCTCACCTCATGTCCACCCCCATGTCCACCCTGACTTGCCCCTATTCAGGTCCCTTGGAAGCCTCCCCACCTAGGAGTAAGCCTGTAGAGCCCAGCTCGGAATTGAACTGCACAGGATCAGGGCCGTGGGCCGGCTGCACACCTTCAGATGCCCTTGGCCCCCAGACTGCCTGGCTGGGGAGGCCCAGGGTCATGCCAGTGTGCTGACGAGCCGGCCGTCCACCCAAAAGGTCAGGCCACCACCCAAGTCCCGGAAGCAAGGAAGCGCTGACCTGGGCCCGAACTGGGGGCTGCCTCAGGCATCAGGGGCTCTGAGCTGTGCCCACTCCATGTGCTTGCCCGCCCCAGCACATGGCTCCGGCCCCCAGGCAGTGGGCACCAGGGCAGGTGTGTACATCGGAGTGAGGTGGATGGTATATGGGAACACCCACAGCTGGGGGACTTGGTAGCAGGTCAGCCCCCTCCTGGCCATACACCAGGGAGAACTCACAGCACGGACGCACCTGATGGCCGATGTGGCAAACACCTGCCCCTTGGAGCCCACGCAGAGGACCACCATGGAGGCCACCACCACGATGAGGTCTGTAGGGCATGGGGGATGGGCAGTGTGACAACACCAGCCAGGGCACTGGTGAGAGCACACCCATGCCCGCGTCTGGGGCAGGGACTTGTAGGTCAGGGCCCAGGGACACGGGAGATAAGGGCATCTTGGATGGACTTGGGCAGTGGCTGAATGGAGAGACACAGCCCTTTGTCCTAGCCACATGGAACTCCCATCCAGCCTGGGCCGGAGCAGACAGAGCCCAGGATCTGGAGGTGGCTCTCAGGACGCCTGCATGTCATCACGCCAGGAAGCTGAGGGACCAGCCCTTCCCCTGCCCTGCAAGCAGCATCTCGGTGCCTCGGGGGTTCAAAGCTGCAGCCACCCCATACCAGCCTTGGGTCCCGCCCAGGCAGGCAGAGTGGCAGGGGGTCCCCTCAATCCTGGGGAGCTCCATGTGGGGAGTGGTCACAATGCGGGGATCCTCCCTGATCTGGAAACCTGGAGGGGAACCTATGAGGGCAGGTGTGACTCACCGATGATGGAAATGGGCTTCCGGGCAAAGCGCAGCCGCCCCCAGATGCCCACGTACTTGCTGCGGCAACCAGCCGACCAGAGGCGGACCACGTACTCTGTCCCAAAGAACACCACCAAGACGATCTCCTGCAGGCACAGAGAGGCGCGCTCATGTCCGGCCAGGTTCCACCGTGGGCAGTGTCAGACCCCGCAACCCCAGTTGGACCGAGCTGCGTGGATGGACAGGTTTCCCGATGCCAGGAGCCTTCTGTGGAGGGACACCTTGAAAACATCGGGCCCAGGACTCAGCTCGCCAGGGTCGGGGGACCCACACACAGCGCCCATCCAGAGAGTCCAGTGGCCTGAGCCCAGGTCCCCAGACAATAGATACCTGATGCACAGACCAGGCCCCACTGAACCAGAGGAGACCCCCACACTAGGGCCTGGGGCAGCTCTGGGCCACATATGTGATGTCCTCAGGCCTGAGCTCCCCAGCCAGAGCCAGCTTCATCCATTGAACCCCAGTGCCTAAATCCCAAGTGGTGGGTCAGAGAACATCTGTCCTCATGGGACTGTCCACCTTCTATCTCATACAGCTAGGGACACAGCAGACACAGTTGGAGGTCTTACTGGGGGCCCCGTGCAAGAGCCCCCTTGGGTGGGGAAGCTGGGCAGGGGGATGACATTGTCTGTGAAACAGCTCTCCTCCTGAGTGAGTCCCTCTCTATGGCCCAGGTCTCTAGCAAAGATTATCCCACGCATCCTCTGAAGACAGGGGCCTTGGGGAGCCAGGGGTTTGGGCAAGGTGGAGGGCCAAGAGCCAAGTTCTGGGTTCCAGTGGATGAACAGACACATGGACAGACAAGTGGATGCGTGGAGGAAGGACAAATGATAGAAGACAAGTGGAGGATGGATGAGCAAGAGAGTGGACGAATGGATGGATGGATGGCTGACTGGTTGGAAGGGTGGATGACAGATGGACAGGTGAATGGATGGATGGGTGGATGGATGGGTGGATGACGGATGGACAAATGGATGCATGAGTGGGTGGGTGGATGGACTGATGGATGACTGGGTAAACGGGTGGGTGGGCGGATGGAAGAATGAATGGCTAAAGGGACGGATGTCTAGATGAACAGATGGATGAGAAGACGGGCAGACAGACAGTAACCCAATGAAGACAGGCAGTGGAAAAGCGAAGTTCAGAAGGGAAGTGCAGCTGCTGGCTCTCCCCGTGTGACAAGCAGCTTGGTGGAGGGTTGCTACCCAGACCCTCCCCAACAGCACGCGGGACTCAGCAGCGTCTTTGAGGCTCAGCGCTGCTGTTTCATTCACCTTCCTGGCAGCCCAAGAAACAGGCGAGGCGTGGACCCCCTGAGGCCTCAAGAGAGCAGCAAGGAAGGATGATGGCCTGGGGTCTTGCCCAGGGCTGGGACCTTCCCAGTGGCCTAGCACACCGTGGGGGTGGGTGGACCCAGCAGCAGACTCCAGCGAAGCCCTGGCTCCCGCCTCGGGGCCATCACGACAGGAAGCTGGGCCTCGGGCTGGCCTTTGGGCCTGGTGCCTCTGGGTGGGCAGCCCCTCGACCCCTCCACTCTCGCCCTCACAGGGAGTCTGGCGGCCCCACTGCCGCCGATGCCAGGCTGAGCTGACCCACTGCCCCTCCACTCCCCTGGAAGGCAGAGGTTCCCGGCGAGATAGGAGGGTGACCCTCAGAGCTGAATCCCAGCCCCAGACGTGGATTCGGGAACCCAGGCCTCAGTTTCCCCAGCTGTAAAATGCCGAACGTAAGGGTTCCTGTGTCGGTGGGCTACAGTGGGGACGTATTGCCGAAAGGTGTAACCAATGTGAGACGTAGCCCATGGTAACATCAGAGGCGCGGTAGTCACCTGCAGGCTGTGTGCTGGGCACCCGCCCAGCCCTGGAGCATGGAAGGCCCTTAGGAGGCTGTGGGGTTGGGAGACTGAACTGGCCCCAACGTGGAGGAGGGGCGAAGCAGAGTCATGGAGCCACAAGCGCCCGCTCCCCACGGACTTCTGCCTGCCCCTCCTTGGGACTTCTGCCCCGACTGGGTGGCAGTGGCTGGTCTTGCCCCCATCCCCTGCCCCCACCAGGAAGTCCGGCACTGGGTGGCGGGATGCGGCTGCTGGCTCCCAAATGTGATTATTTAGGTCAAAACGATCCCAACCCCATCCAGTGTGCGGTGGCGGGAACAAGCCTGCTGGCCGAGACAGACAGTCGGAGCTCAGTGCTTTCCTCTTGCAAATGTTTTCTGCTCATGGCTTGAGCCCTGGGGGGGTGGAGTATGCGTGGGAGATGGGGGGAGGGGACAAGGGTGCTGACACTGTGGGCTCTGTGGCCTCACGGAGGGTGGTGGTCCCACCTCTGACCACAGCTTCTGGGACAGGGACTCGAGGCTGGAGGTGGCCGAGCCATCAGAAGAGAGCTGGCCCCGGTCAGCACTTGGGATGGAACTGCAGTGGGGACAAAGACCGATGGGTGCATGTGCTCATGAGCTGGGCGCACATTCTTGCTCATGGGGACCCTGTCCTGCTCACCTGGGCTGCTGCAGACCTGACCCTGCAACACCACCGTCGATGGTTTGGCCATTGTGAGAGAGGCTGCAGGAACAGCACACCCCGAGTTCCTGATTGGAGACAGGTGCCCATGATTGGCAGAGGCCGGTTCACTGACCGCTGGTGGCCCAGACAGGGAGGAACGGCGCCCACCCCTCCCCACAGAGCAGCCCTGAGGCCCGCAGCCTGGCTCTGCAGGCCCACATGCTCCCAGTGGGTCAATCACGTAACAGGTTTTCTCTTGTCGTGACATACTTTTAAAATGACTTAGATGCCTTCTTCAGCCTTGTCCCAAACAAACAGAAATGTAGATGTGTCGCACGATACTCCTTGAAATAAACAACTGATCATGAGGGATGGCTCTGGATGGCCGAACGTCCCCCCAGCTCACCCTGGTGTGACACTTGGGAGCGCCTGCCTGGGGGTCGTTGGAGCGGGCAGGACACCCCCCTAGAAGGCCCCCAGGCAGGGGTCGGGTGGGTCAGTGTGGCACTCCTGGCCGCCCTGGAGGGACCCAGGAGAACGGGCATTTCACCATCTCCAGGCTGGAGACAGCAAGATAGAATGTTCAGAGATAAAATTATCTCCACCACCATCAGTCTCCGACCCTTTCCCGGACTGTGCGAAATGGCGTCACAGCAGGGTCCCATGCCCTCAGATCCCCTGATGTCTCTGTGCCCCAGGGTTCCTGCAGTTCCCTATCTGAAACGCTGCTCCCTCCCACCTGTCCCTGCTCTCCTCAGGCCAGCTCCAGTACCCCACCCCCTCTGGAATCCCTGCCCACCACATCTGCAGGACCAGAAGGATCCCTGGCTCCCCCACTGATAACAGAGTCAGCTCCAGGGGTCCTTCCTGAGGGGAGTCAGCAGTACCCAGTGCCCAGAGGGCCCCTCGGCCAGATTCACATGGTGCTGGTGAGACCCAGGGTCACGGATCCTAGGCCCCCTGCGTTGTTGATGGAGTGTGGCTCTGAGCTCTGCCCCACAGACAGGAGAAGAGGGGTTACCCTTGGGCCAAGGACCCTGGGGTCCTCTCCCGAGACCACAGTTAGACCAAAGAGACAAAGAGCCCCCACCTCCCCCTGGCCCTGGTCACTGTCCTGCAGATGAAGGCAAAGCCGCTTTCTGGCTGCAGACAGCCGAGTGGACAGGGCGCCTCTCCCCAGCACGGAGCCCCACAGCCTCACCTCGGCCCCACAAAGCAGGGCTGGCGACCACTCTGTCGGTCTTACAGAGGATTACAGGTGTGAGCCACCGTGCACGGCCTAGCCTTATTTTTTACAAAACAAAGTTTATAACAAGCAATCCAATTTTTTTAAATGGGAAAATGGTTTGAATAGTCGTTTCCTTAAAGAAGATACACAAATGGCCAGCAAGCCCATGAGAAGCACTCAGTGTCAAGTACAGATCAAACCTCACATTCATTAGAATGGGACGCTAAAACAAAACAAAACAAAGCAGAACACCAGAAAATAGCCAGTGTTGTGGAGGGCATGGAGAGACTGGAGCCCTTGTGCACCATAGGTGGGCGTGCAGGGTGGTGCCGTGTTGTAGAAAACAGTGTGGCAACTCCACACAGCACTGACCGTGGAATTACCAGCCACTCGGTTTTGCTGTGAATCAAAAACTTCTAAAAAGAAAAAATCACCTAATAAAAAAAAAACAAAACACTCCAGGCTAGGTGTGGTGACTCATGCCTGTAATCTCAGCACTTTGGGAGCCCAGGCAGGAGGATTGCTTGAGCCCAGGAGTTTGAGACCAGCCTGGACAACATAGCAAAACCTCTTCTCTACCAAAAAATAAAAAAATTAACCAGGTCCGGTACACACCTGTAGTCTCAGTTATCTGGGAGGCTGAGGTGGGAGGATTGCCGGAGCCCGGGAGGTCAAGTCTGCAGTGAGCCATGGGCATGCCATGGTACTCCAACCAGGGCAACAGAGTAAGACCCTGACTCAAAAATTAATAGTAGCCAGGCATGGTGGCTCATGCCCGTCATCCTAGCACTTGGGGAGGCAGAGGCGAGAGGATGGCCTGAGCCCAGTGTTCTGAGACAGTATGGGCAACTAGGCGAGACCTCGTCTCAACAACAAATCAGAAAATTAGCTGAGCATAGTGGTGAGCGCCTGCAGTTCCAGCTACTTGGAAGGCTGAGGCGGAAGGATCGCCTGAGCCCAGCAAGTTGAGGCTACAGTGGCTGGGGGCATGCCACTGCCCTCCAGCCTAGGTGGCAGAGTGATACTCAAAAAAAAAAGTAAAATTAAAATCACTCCAGAAAAAAGTAGAATTACTGTACAACTCAACAAATCCACTTCTGGGTCTGACCCCAAAAACAGAAAGCAGGACTCATTCAGTACACAGACGCAGCGTGTCCCATCCATATGATGGAATATGAGTCAGGCTTAAAAAGGAAAGAACTAAACATAAGGGGAATTCCCACGCAGGCCACCACCGTGTGGATGGACCTTGGGGACATGACGTGGAGTGAGAGAAACCAGTGAATTCCTCTTACAGGCTGTCCCTAGCCGTTGGAGCTGCCGAGACAGAATGTGGGGTGAGGGGGGTCAGGGTTGGT